ACAAATTTACTAAGGATTTGAATTTTGATTTGGCGCGGGCAAAAAGATTGAGGGACATGCTTCTCAATTATTATTATTATTAATCCTCTTTGCGCTGCGCTGAGAAGGAAGAAGAGCCAACAATTAACACTCCTATATAGGAGTTAGCCGCTGTACTCTATTGGATTCGGTTTTATGGACTCTTATGCACAGCCCAATATGACAAGTAATCCTTTATTATTGGATTTAGGTTTACGACCATTAGGCCCAACCCAATAGGATTGAACCAGCTAATGATTTAATTGCAAAATATACCCAATATCTTGTATGTAGTAGCAATAATAGTTACCATCTTTATGAACTGGCAGTAGCCAATAAATTTTAAAATTTTGAGGTTAATACCCATGTCCGACCAAATTCGACTGCTATTATTGCCACAGTGTAATAATACTGGCTACATTTTGCAACTTGGTCGCAAATTTGGCCGAATTCGGATAATCTATCTATATCTACTTAAAAGTATTAGTTATTTCTTGATAATTTTGAATTGCCTATACTACTCTCAAAAGATGTTACTATAAAGAACATAAATATAATTTGTAATTTTAAATTAGTATTGATAATGGTGATTTGTAACTTCTCCAACCACATTTAAATAGAAACTTGAATTACCAATACTATCCTTAAGAAAAATGAAATGTAACTTTTGTTTGAAAGATATAAACATAATATTATAGTTTTAAATTAAAATCACATCACAACTATACACCTATTTTTTTATATATATAAATATATGTTGTCTAACTCTTTCATTTCTCTTCATCATATACAATTATTTTATATCCATAAAAAATTTATATTAATAATCTCATCCTAGCTATTATTCTTCACCATCAACAAATATTTATTTATTTAAGTTATTTATTACAAGAGTATACATAGTCCCATTTTAGGGCATCACCTTCTAAAATGTTGGTCCTGTTCAATCACAAATTGATGCAAATTAAGGTATGCCACTAATTTATATGTCATATAAATATTTTTTCAAATGAAATTGCTATTAAATAGTGAGATTATAATTAATTTAAGTTTTATCATATTGCTGAAATATCATTATTGTTTTTGAATATTTTAGTATTGTGGCCTTATAAGCACTTCTGTTTTATCATACTTCCATTTTCATTATCAGTAATGGGCAAGGAAATAAATAGCTCGTTAAAGTTGCCGCTATTTGAGAAATAGTTTTTTTTGGCAGCGTGCCGCTATTTGTATTCATGTGCAATTTAGCCGCTAAATTCCGCTAAATCTCCGCTATAGCTACAGTGCCATAAACGTTTTAGCCCGCTATTTAAAACCTTGATAATGGGCATTGCTCGTGAATTATTAGAGAAAAAGTTAGAAAGTTAGTATGATGCTTCCACATATTAGGGTCCAATAAAATATCCAAAATTTTCATTAGTCTTTATTTATAAAATTTGAAGAGGAAAAAAATAGTGAATATCATGTCTAAAAAGTATATATATTATATTTCATAATTATTTACAAATACACGAGACGACTAACCCACAACTTTCGCATTTCTCTAAAATTGCGATCATGGTAAAATCTTTTCCTATAACTTAACCAATTCACGGATTTTAGAAAAATGAAGGGAATAACATGTTATTAAAATAATTGTTGGTGGATATCCAACTTTTATTTTATTTATCTTGTATATTATTTTGTGTATTTTTTTGGTCTGGAAACTAAATTTTTACTATCACTGATTGTTTTATACTCACGGGATAAAAAATTGCAACAAAAAAAGAAATAAAACTGAGAAAATTGCAAATTTGGTCCCGTTAGATTGGGACGGTCCAATTTTAGTCTCACGGTCGCAATTTTAGTCCTGGGGGTTAACGGTGACTACAAGGTCCGTTGAATTTGGGACCAAATGCGGAACAAACATTGGTTAAGGACTAAAAATGTGCCTCTTGGGACTAAAAATGAAACCGTCCTAATTTAACGGGACCAAATTTGTAATTTCCTCGATAATAAAATTATATTAGTTATTCTTTAAAATTTTGACATGTTATTTATTTGTATATTATTGTCAACTATGATAGTGTTTTTATCACTTTTTTTTGGTTATGTTTCAAAAATGAACTTTTCGTAAAATATTTTTTTATTGCATAGTATGTTAAATAAACTATAAAGCCTTAGGATGAAAATTAAAAAAAAAAAAAATCTCTTGATTATGTAAGGGATTTATTTTTTTGGCAATTGCTAAATCATTAAAAAAGAATTATTATGAAAAAATTGAATTCTAAAAAACACGTGTGTGTGTATATTGTAAACATTTATACTCAAAATTTTATTTTGAATTGCATTACATAAAGAAAACCACTTCTATAACTTTTATAAATAATAATAATGACATTATATGAC